ACCTCCACGCCTACTTGTCCCCCAGCACCCACCAGCCCCAATGCCCACCTGTCCCTCACCCTCCATCCTGCTTCCATCCACCTGTATGTGCTCCCGTCACCCACCCGTGCGCCTCTTGTCCCCTCCACCCCTCCATCCACCCACCCAGCAATCCGCCCATTCATGCACCCACCCAGCAATCCAACCACCCATCCACCCATTTATCCCACCATCCATCCCGCCAACCACCTGTATGCCCACCCACCTTCTGCATGTGTGCGTGGCCCTGTGCATGCGTGTGTCCCCTGCGCGCGTACAGCACCTTGCGCACGCGTGTGGCCCTGCGCACACGTGTGTGTCCCCTGCGCGCGTTCAGCGCCTTGCGCACGCGTGTGGCCCTACGCACACGTGTGTGTCCCCTGCGCGTGTTCAGCGCCTTCTGCATGTGTGCGTGGCCCTGTGCATGCGTGTGTCCCCTGCGCGCGTACAGCACCTTGCGCACGCGTGTGGCCCTGCGCACACGTGTGTGTCCCCTGCGCGCGTTCAGCGCCTTGCGCACGCGTGTGGCCCTACGCACACGTGTGTGTCCCCTGCGCGTGTTCAGCGCCTTCTGCATGTGTGCGTGGCCCTGTGCATGCGTGTGTCCCCTGCGCGCGTACAGCACCTTGCGCACGCGTGTGGCCCTGCGCACACGTGTGTGTCCCCTGCGCGCGTTCAGCGCCTTGCGCACGCGTGTGGCCCTACGCACACGTGTGTGTCCCCTGCGCGTGTTCAGCGCCTTCTGCATGTGTGCGTGGCCCTGTGCATGCGTGTGTCCCCTGCGCGCGTACAGCACCTTGCGCACGCGTGTGGCCCTGCGCACACGTGTGTGTCCCCTGCGCGCGTTCAGCGCCTTGCGCACGCGTGTGGCCCTACGCACACGTGTGTGTCCCCTGCGCGTGTTCAGCGCCTTCTGCATGTGTGCGTGGCCCTGTGCATGCGTGTGTCCCCTGCGCGCGTACAGCACCTTGCGCACGCGTGTGGCCCTGTGCACACATGTGTGTCCCCTGCGCGCGTTCAGCGCCTTGCACACGCGTGTGGCTGCGCACACGTGTGTGTCCCCTGTGCGCGTACAGCGCCTTGCGCACGCGTGGGGCCCTGTGCACGTGTGTGTGTCCTCTGTGCGCGTTCAGCGCCTTGCGCATGCGTGTGTGGCCCTGCACACGTGTGTGTCCTCTGCGCGCGTACAGTGCCTTGCGCACACGTGTGGCTCTGTGCACGTATGTCCCCTGCGCGCGTTCAGCGCCTTGCGCATGCGTGTGTGACCCTGCGCACACGTGTGTGTCCCCTGCGCGCATTCAGTGCCTTGCGCACGCATGTGTGGCTCTGTGCACGTGTGTGTGTCCTCTGTGCGCGTTCAGCGCCTTGCGCATGCGTGTGTGGCCCTGCACACGTGTGTGTCCTCTGCGCGCGTACAGTGCCTTGCGCACACGTGTGGCTCTGTGCACGTATGTCCCCTGCGCGCGTTCAGCGCCTTGCGCATGCGTGTGTGACCCTGCGCACACGTGTGTGTCCCCTGCGCGCATTCAGTGCCTTGCGCACGCATGTGTGGCTCTGTGCACGTGTGTGTGTCCCCTGCGCGCGTACAGCACCTTGCACATGCGTGTGGTCCTGCGCACACGTGTGTGTCCTCTGCACGCGTTCAGCGCCTTGTGCATGCGTGTGTGGCCCTGCACACGTGTGTGTCCCCTGCGCGCGTTCAGCGCCTTGCACACGCGAGTGTGGCTCTGTGCATGTGTGTGTGTGTCCTGCGCGCGTACTGCACCTTGCGCACGCGTGTGGCCGTGTGCACGTGTGTGTCCCTGCGCATGCATGTGTGTCCCTGCAGAGACGTGTGTGCCCCTGCGCATGCTTGTGGCCCTGCGCACATGTGTGTGCCCCTGTGCACACGTGTGTGGCTCTGTGCATGCATGTGTGTCCCTGAGCACACGTGTGTCCCTGTGCATGCGTGTGTGGCCCTGAGCACACGTGTGTGGCCCTGTGCATGCATGTGTGTCCCTGCGCACGCATGTGGCTCTGTGCATGCCTGTGGCCCTGCACACGCGTGTGTGTCCCTGTGCACACGTGCGTGGCCCCCTGCCACGGCAGTGCCAAGCTCCCAGGGAGCTCCCTGCAGGACAGGGATGGGTGTTGGAACAGGGATGGGACAGGACGGGGACAGGGCTGGGGACAGGGATGGGATGGGGACAGGACGGGACAGGACGGGGACAGGGATAGGGACAGGGATGGGGACAGGGATGGGGACAGGACAGGACAGGACAGGGACAGGGAAGGGGACAGGGATGGGGACAGGGATGGGATGGGAACAGGACGGGACAGGACGAGGACAGGGCTGGGGACAGGGATGGGGATGGGGCTGGGGCTGGGGACAGGACGAGGACAGGGCTGGGGACAGGGACGGGACAGGGACAGGACAGGACAGGACGGGGCAGGGCGGGGGCTCACCTGAGCCTCCCCTCGGGCGGCAGCTCGTGCGGGGGGTCGTCGCAGATCAGCCGGGTTTCCCCATCCAGCAGGTAGATGTAGACGTGCTCCTGGCGGGAGGAGAGCGGGCAGCGCTGAGGGACGGGGACCCCCCGCACCCTCGGCCCCGGCCACTGCGGCCCAGCGAGCCCCTGTGCCCCCCGGGCCCCCCGCCCAGCTCTGCGGGAGCCGGCCGGGGCCGGGGAGCGGCTGCGTGCCTCAGTTTCCCCAGGAGCACAGGGCTTTTCCAAGGCAAGAGCCACTGCCCCCACGCATAAACACACGTGCACAGCCACACGTGTGCATAAACACGCGCGCACAGCCACACCTGTGTGTAAACACATGTGCACAGCCACATGTGTGCGTAAACACACGCGCACAGCCACACCTGTGTGTAAACACGTGCACAGCCACATGTGTGCGTAAACACACGTGCACAGCCACACGTGTGCATAAACACGCGCGCACAGCCACACCTGTGTGTAAACACATGTGCGCAGCCACATGTGTGTGTAAACACACGTGCACAGCCACACGTACACAGCCACACATGCATAAACACACGTGCACAGCCACACATGTGTGTAAACACACGTACATACCCACACATGTGCATAAACGCACACAAACACACGTTCCTACCCATACGTGTATGCAAACACCCGTACACACCCACACATGTACGAAACCACACCTCACGTGTGCATAAACACACGTGCACACCCACACATATACAGAAACACCCGTACACACCCACACACGTGCACACTCATGCACACACACGAATACAAACCCGCATACACACGCATGCACAGTCGTGCACGTGCATGCACACTCACCTGCACACACACGCGCCACACGCACCTGCGCACACGCGTGCATATACACACCTGCATGTGTGTGCATACAGACCTGCACACATGCTTGCACACACGTGCCTGCACCCCTGTGCACGCTCACACACGTGTGCACACCCGCCCGCGCACCCGTGCACACAGACCTGCTCACACCCACCCACGCGTGCACGCTCCCTCGCCCCCCCTTGCAGCGCCCCAGCCCTGCTGCCCAACGGCTCGGGGTCCCGGGGACCCCAGCCCTGCCCTTGGCCTCGTGGTGCAGCTGTGGCTCCCCGCGGTACGGCGCTGGTACGATGCCGGCCCTGGGCCTGGCTACCACCAGCACCCTGGGGCCACCACCAGCGCCAGGGCCACCAGCACCCCAGGGCCACCAGCAGCACCAGGGCCACCAGCACCCTGGGGCCACCAGCAGCACCAGGGCCACCAGCAGCACCAGGGTTACCATAAGCACCGGGGTCACCAGCACCCCAGGGTCACCAGCACCCCAGGGCTACCGGCAGCACCAGGACCACCAGCACCCCAGGGTCACCAGCAGCACCAGGGCCACCATGAGTGCCAGGACCACAAGCACCCTGGGGCTGCCACCAGGGCCACCCCCAGCACCAGGGCCACCACGAGCGCCAGGGCCACCATCACCCTGGGGCCACCAGCACCCTGGGGCCACCACCAGCACCAGGGCCACCAGCACCATGGGGCCACAAGGGCATTAGGGCCCCTGCAGCCCCGGGGGGGGTCCGTGCTGCTCCCTGCCCGCTACGGGGAGGTGGCCGGCGAGGCTCAACCTCAGCATCAGCCAGCAGAGAATCCCCCACCCACAGGGCTCCCCCCAGCCCCGGGGGGGGGGGTCTCCGAGCCCCAACAAACCCCCAACCT